GAAACCAAGTCACTGACTCCGAGCTTCCTTTCTCGACGGACACGACAGAAAGATCAAAGGTACCTGATAACTTTGCCCTAGAGAAAATAAGATTAAGCAGAAGTGTTGACCATTTTTCCTCCCAGACACTTAGCAGTCATTTAAAAGGATGTCAAAAGGAGGTGAATAAAGGAAGATTCACACAACATTTATTTTGTAAAAAGCTTATGATAGCTGTAATTGCCTGGAAAAGCAATCAAGGTGTACATTACCATTCAGATTTGTTAAATACTTTTTGTTTTTTTTCTCTTTTTGATAATTCTTGGTACAAGTAAGCTCCTTATTTAAAAATATTTTTGTTGTCCAGGATTCTTTCTCTTTGATGTGTTTGTGTTGCAATGTTTCATATTCAGTTACTATCACTGTTGTTTAATCAGATACTCTGAACCTGGATTAATTAATTGACATCAAGTCTTCTTCATTATATTATATATACTATGCAGCAGTAGAAAATTACACTATTTCCTGTTTGTTATAGAACTTGTAGGTTGAAGTGACGACCAAAGACACCAATTTAAAGACAAAAGCAAGAATGTATCTCATCCAATATGTAGGGATTTAAACTCTATGGTATGTGTGATAGACCTTCGGGTTTGAAGAAGACACTCTGTTGTACATGGAGATGATTCTGCGATCTAGCAGAGTCTAGCACAGTGGGGTAAAGCACAATGGAAACCACTGGAAGTCTATTGTGGTAACTGTGGATTTTACTGTATGATGTCATTTACTGTTTTCTGTTAGTTTTTGGTGGTCCCTATCTTCAAAGCTAAAACTTCATGCACAGGGCTCACCAGTCTGCATTCTGACAATCTGGGTTCTGTCAGTTTGTGACTATAACTGCCAGTGATCACCTCCATCTGTTACTTTACTATTTCCCCATTGTCACAGGACTGACAAATTAGGTTTGACATGAGAGAATTTGCAGATGAGCTGTTGATGAAGTTGAATTGCATAAGAGAAATATCTGTGCAATGGAGTTCTAAGTGGAACAGCTGCCATTCTCTCAGTTATCCAGTAGCACAGAGAATCATTACAACTGGAGGCCTTTTTTCTGCAGTGGATAACCAGCAAGATTAAATATCTTAATGCTCTACTACCATGTCTGCTGGACCTGCCTTCTTGACTGCTGCACTATTGATTAATTTTTTCCCCACTCAATGTACCAGAATTCGTCTTCACATGGAATAGAAAAATACCTTATCTCACCAGGAGTCTCTCAAAATTTTCAGGATTTTGGTTAGGGTTCAGAATAGACAAGTCAACATATTTTTTTCCCATTCCAATGCTCCATGAAGCCATTTCTTCCCACAATTACTTCATTAAATAGAATTTTACCAGGTTAGAAATCCAGCATGCATATGCTACAAAAATGTGATCCAATGGAAATTATTCTCTAGTAGGGATCCAATTAAAAAGAATGTGAAGGCTTGTTTTGTAAATATTGCACTGTAAATTGAATTTCTTTTTAATTCCTTCCTTCCTTCCTTCCTTTGGTTTGTATTAAATGCCTATGAGTGTCAGATTTCATAAACTAAATATTTAAGTTTTATATTTTCCAGATCTGACTCTTATGATTTTTTTTCTGATAAGTTGAATACTTTCTCCTACATTCATACTGAAATTAGTCCTAGCACTTTCAGATACATTTTAAGAAGTAAAGTATACTCCTCCTTTCTTCCTCTTATTTTTTGTGATACAACTTAGCTAAATAATAAGTCATTATTACTATTAAGAAGAGAAGTATCTTTGTTATTTAGAATAGTTACCTAACTTAGGACCTGTTTCTTTTTATATGCAGGAAAATTCCATGGATCAATATCTATGCTCAGGTGCAACATGACAAGGAACAGGAGATGATTGGTTCTGTCAGCCAAAATGAAAATGCACCCAAAATTACACTTAGTGAATTCACAGACCCTGAAGAACTCATGGACAAAGAGTTGGATGCACGGGTTATAGGTAAACAGCATGGGCATCCATTCAATTACAGTGATAGTTATCATCCCTTAATCAGATATGCCCAACCTAAGGACATTGTCAGTGTGAAAGGAGGAGGTTCATAATGTTTTATGTAATTAATTCATATTAAGTTAATATGATTCAAATTAAAGCAGTTTTAGTTTTTGATGTGACACCCCAACCTCAATTTTATTTGACCCTGGTTGAGAATTCAAAGTTTTGGCCAAAATACCACCCTTAAACATATAGAAAAAAAATTGCTACTCATTTTTCTCCATTGATGAATATAAATATTTATCAGATAAAATAGATTTACATTAATAGAAAAGATAAGAAATAGATTGTCAAGTTTAACCAACAGACAGGACTGTAATAACTGAAGGCAAATTCGCACCAAGACATTAAGGTAAATTTATTTAAGAAAAATCAGTAATTTATAATAATAGAATCCTAATAACTATTGTTTCAAGAGCAAACCTTATGTACAAAAAAATGGTACTCAAATTCTTCTGCAGTTCTTTTTCTCTCCTGTCATGGACCTGATTGATTTTCCTTTTTTTGTGTGTGGGAAAGTCATCCACTCCTTATATTTGCAGGAGACAGATTCTGTTACCCTGATTTTGTGAGAATTAATTCATATAAGTATTGTTTTCTGGATAATATTGCAATGTTTTTTTCCTGGAAATTTTTCAACTCTTGAAAAATAATAAAGCATTAGAAGGCCACAATTGAAACACATAAATTATGTTTCAGTAAATATGAGGGAGAAAAGATTGAATGAGAAATTTGAACAGACAGCCCAGTGATTGTTTATAGCACAAAAAGGAAGCAACCACTTCCACTTCAGTGGCTGAATGTCTGCTTAACTCTTTCTCATTTGACTTCCATCTTTTACTGTCACACTTTCCATCTCTATTTTCCATAAATTGATGTTTTCTGATGTCTTGTGTATACCGTCCTTATTTTATATGGGGTAATTTCTTAGGTTTTCAGCCAAACCATAGACAGAAAAGCAGTTTTGTTGTTTGTGCATAAATTTCAACATACCATTCACTTGTCAGGAAAACCAAAAATGTCTGCTCAAATTAAAGCAATTTCAGAATGAAATCAGTATGCAATGTACAAATTTACTTTCTCTCCCTTTCTTTCTTCATAGGAAGCATCTCAACAATCTCCAACAGTGAAAGCACAAAGGAAATACCGAACTGCACTAGTGTTTAATACCAGGAGTCCATTTTGACAACATTACCCAGCTTTTTGTAATTAATATTATGATTAGATGAAGGGGAAATTCTTCTTGTTATTATTATTAATATTAATGGTGTGGACTTTTTTTCTTTTTTCTTTTTTAGGGACATATATAAAGTGAGCATTTGGCAAACCATATCACAATATGATATACAGCTGAATGAAATGATGGTATAAGATCTTAAATTTCAATTGAAAAAAAGTGCTTTTTTTGCCAATGGCAATCTCAAAAGACTCTTACCAGACTTGTCTTTGTCCAGTGCTTTCAGATTCTGATTCAGATCACTGATGATATCCGATAAATCTTGAAAACTGATTCTGTGAGGTCCCTTCTGAATAATATTTTTAGATCCCAATGAAGGTGGGTGGGATGCCCATAATGGCCCAACCAAAGTTGACCAAATTTCTGAAGAGGCTCTCAATGGTGCATGTTCATACTGATGGTTTACTGTAGATACTTACCATGTAAATATATTTTTATTTCCTGAGAAATAATTTAATGTTTAGCAAAAGATAAATTTAAAATAAATAAACCACACACAGACATACACATAGCACACATGTTTGCATTGATATCAGAAGCCAAACTGTTAAATGGAAGCCTGCAGTGAGCAACTCTGTCACATGTGGGATCTAAATGTATATCAGTTGTCTGTCCTATTTAAATCTATTGCCTTATTTTAACAGTACTGTGCCAAGGAATCCCCTACAGAAGGAAACATGTTCTGGGTTAGGCATGTTTCAGAACACAGTTTAGTCAAGTCAGTTTCCTCTTCCTTACATGAAGGTGGTGAGGAGAAGGATACTAATTATACTCTCTAATAGGTGTGGCTGCAAAACTCTGAAATATGATGCAGAATCCATAATATCCCCATTTGAATTAGTTGGCTGCATGGGGAAATATTTTTCTCCACAAAGAAGCTAAATAATAAGTCCAAGACTGACTTTTAACCTGTAGCGTTTGCCGCTATCTGAGACTTTGTTATTTTTATTTTAACATTTTAATCTCAACTCTTTGCCACTTTTTCTTCTTTCAGCACATATGATTTTACTTTGTATTTTGCTTCCAGCTCATCTGATATGATCATATGGATAAAGTTAAATAGGTTATGTAAGGTTGATTTTGGAATTAAGTGCTACAATCTGCTATTGCCATGTTGACTCAAAATTCTGGAATCTTGTTTTATATATTTATCACATTTATATAACTGCTCATCTCAGAAATGTGGCAATAAAAACAATAGTAAAATCTAAACATTAAAACAAGTACAATTAAAAACCTCAACAAAATCATTATAGGAAGACTGAAGAGAAGATTGATGTTAAAAGCAATGCAACCATCTCATTAGATCACCCTATCTGTGACATTTCCCTAAACCTACTGACACAGCCATATAATAAGAACCTTCCAGAAAAAGTTCTCAAATGTTCCCAGATTGGCAAAAATTCTTCTACAACACTATTAATTTAACTGAGAATATAGTAGGCTAATATATAATCATAGACTTTTTCTCTATAATGTAATATGTGAACAATTTTATTTGTTAGAAAACATATTTGAATTATCTTAATTAGCAATATTATGCTTGATTGTTTAAGTATTCTGAGATTATATTTGTGCAGTAAAAAGATCCATATTTTATGGTCGCCTAGTGATGGGTGGATATCTTTTTGCTATTATTTGCCTGATGACTGCTAATGTTCAGAAACAGGATCAACAAAAATATCCGCAAATTTCATGCTCACTAGGTAGATAAGTCAGCAATGGAAAAAAGAAGTCTGAAACTAATTATTGTCAATCAACAGATTTTAATATTTTTACATCCAGAAAAAAGAATCTGTCAAAGAGCAGAAAAAAAGATTATAGCTCTGACTAAAATAAAAACTTCAGAGGGATCAGGTTAAAAGCTGGTGCAGTCCTTTTAAATCTTGTGAACCATTCTAAAATGTCTCTTGTTAACAAAGCAAATACTAGAATTGGAGAATTCAGAAATCCACAATTTAACATGAAAAACGTGAACAATGTACTATGTGCAAACTGTTCTACTGAGAGTGTCATTTCAGGTACAGACTGTTTCTGTATTCAGAAGAATATGTATTAATTTACTTTTTATTAATTATGTATTTTGCTAGGATGCTCTATCCCTAAAAAAAATCCTTAGTAATTTCTTAGGTTCATGTTTATACAGTAACCTCCAAAATGTAAAGAATATCTTCCTTATTCATTTCTCAAGAATTGTGGAAATAGGGATATTCCCAATCAATAAGTTTATTACACAAGCAGCATAAAATACAATTACAGAGGATTCCAGTCCTCCCTTATTCTAATTCTTCATCTAAGGCAGGGGTGTCAAATTATGTGTCATCACGGCATTGTCACATGACATATTGTGACTTTTTCCCCTTTCGTTAAACTGGGCATGGGCACGGCCAGCGGTGATGTAGCCGACCTGCAGTCCAGGAGTTTGACAGCTCTGATCTAAGGAATTCAAGATCGCATACATGGTCCTGTCCTGTTTCACAGTTCTACAAGATAAATTAAGCTGAAAGACAATTTTAGATTAATGGCTGAGTTTCTTTTAATTTATGCTCAGCAAACAAGTTACCAGGTGATTTAAAAAAAGTGTGTTTGTATGTCCACACTATATGCAAAAAAGTGAAAATTAATTATCTCTGCATAAAGTATGATTGACCCTCTCTTCATCCTTCCAATAAATCCCATACATCACCCACAGCTCTTCTTAGATCACTGGCTTCAGTTTACATTTCAAATCTTGAATGTTGCTTGTCCAGCTAACGACAACTCCAATCTATTATTCTAGGGATTTGTATTTTAAAAAAATTAAAGAGAAGCAAATGGGAAAAAGTGGGAGAGGAAGCAACAACAATTAACTCAGCAAGTTAGCCTGTGCCTGCAGTCAGTCTCAAAATGTTTGAGAAAAATGTAAATCATGTTCTTTTGTTAATATTTGTAAAATACTTATGACTAAATTTCTTTCTTTGTTTATGCTGTGGGTTATTTGACATCTTTCTTTCTTTAAAAATGAAGTCTGCAAAGCCTCACTTATGCCTCAGATGAAATCTCTTAGAATTTAAGAACATAGGATATTACTATGCCAATGGAATTAGGGAAGGGGACAAAATAGTATCCAGATGCCAAAATTGTGACACTTTCATGAGACTTGAATGGCCTGTGGAGGATGCTGCTTTATCTATTCACTTCAATATCATGGATAACTTGAAAGGCATGATGTACAGATTGAATTTAATTCAATAATCGGCAAGAATATATTTAGGTGCTTGGAAACAAGGACTACTCATTTCATTAGTAGTCTTACATCTAATTATCCTACTTCTGTCAATAATACTCTTAATGTTAGCTTCTACCATAGAAATAGGCAATGTATTTTCAGCCAATGCCTATATTTTTAAAATATATATAAGATTTTAAGAGATATGTGCAGTGACTTTACTAGTGATGTGTCTTGGGGAGGGGACTTTTTATTTTTCTGAGCATAGGAGTTGTTTTATAAGAATTATTTGTTTTTTGCAGTTTATTATAAGCTTCATAAAGAATTGAGAGGATGCAAGTAGCTGTGGGAACATTCTTGAATGTATTCCTACAAATTACATAAAATCTGTAGAAAGACAGACTTAGCACAATTTATTATGAAATTTAATTATTCTTTCTCTCTGAGCAAGAACACTATTCAAGGACTAAAGATTGCTCAAAAGTTTCAAACAAGAAAACCCCTAAAATTTCTAACAAAAGACTGATGAAAGTTTTGATTCTTTACAAATTATCTAAACAACAAGCAAGTTGGGGTCCAATGCATTTCCTGTATGAGTATGGTCATCACAAGCAATTTGGAAGAATTTCTTCCATGTGCCAGAAAGATGGTTCATAGGCTGTGGTGGACTTCTTTATGAGAACTACTCCTTGCACCAATCAGCAGCCTGATTGCTATAAATGAGCCATGTTGACTCAGTGGTTAAAATGCAGTATTGTAAACAGGACTCAAGGTTGGTTTAGCCTTCCATCTTCTGAAATCAGTAAAATCAGGACCCAGATTGTTGGGAGTAATATGCAAGTAATGCTTACATTGTAAACCACTCAGAGAGTAGTTTAAGTGCTAAGGGGTGGAATAAATGCTATTTGCTGTACACTATTCAAAGGTAGTTCCATTGTCATTGCAGCAATGGCATCCATAGCAGTGGTGCATTCAAAAAAATTTACTACCAGTTCTGTGGGTGTGGTTTGGCTTGGTGGGCATGGCTTGATGACATGGCAGGGGAAGGATAATGCAAAATCCCCATTTCCTCCCCACCCCACTAACCTGCTTTCCAGCTCTGTTCTCCGGTGCAAGGCAACAAAAGAAGACCCAGACTCAGGAGACAGAGAATAGATGGGGGCGGGGCCAGTCAGAGGTAGTATTTGCTGGTTTTCTGAATTACTCAAAATTTCTGCTACCGTTTCTTCAGAACTGGTCAGAATCTGCTGACCAGTTCCATAGGAACTAGCGCACGGAAAAGGCATTTGGTTTGTGCTGCAATTCCATAATATTGCCTTCATCAATCTAACACCCATTAATTCACCCTGCTGGGTATGAGTATTTAATACAGGATGTAACAAGACATAGATAACTATCAAAATAAAAATTAGCAACGAAAGATTGCTGTTAAGAGTGCTAAATATTAGTACATGGAGGAACTCTTCACAACATCTTCCATTGGTGAATCCATTGATAACTGTGAATAAAAAAGCACCATTTCTGAAAAACTCTTCTTTTTTTAGAAGCGAGGGGGAGCTTCAATTTTCTCCAAAACAATACAAATTCTTCATAGCACACCATCAACTGTTGTACCTCCCCATCTGGTCATGAAGATGCCATATATCATAGAAGAGCAATGTTGACTTGTTCTAGGTGGATGCAGTGGGTGCAGAAACCTAACCATCCATGGCAACCATTTCA